AGCATTACTACGAAAGTTACTGATGAGTAGTATTGAAATCTTGTACCTTTCCAATGGCCACGGTGGTTGTTGCCATGTCCAGCAGATAGGAATCACCTCCTGTACCTACAGCGCCGACTGCTATAGGATTCGTTCCAAGAGCTGCTTTTGCTGACCTTGTTGGATACATTATAGGAGATGTGTTAGTGCATGAAATTCCCTGAACAATTTGGCTGTGGCGTTATTTAATTGGAAAGGATGGTCTTCTATGAAGTCCCGCTGCTTCTACAGAATCCAACTCATAATAAAACTTCACGATGAGGCCTTGTTTCATTGCCCTCATAGCGTACCATCCAGCGATGCCATAATGATTTGAACCTTGAAAAGTCATACTTTAGCGCCGATGGGGGAGAATATCGTTATGACAAACCTTTAGCGCTCACACACGCAATACCGACATCCTTGGCTTTTTTGATAGCGAGGTCCATGCAGAAGTTGCCAACCACAGGGCCCAAGAGACTAATACCATCAACCCAGGCTGATCCAGCTCGTTCCTGTAGACAAAGTGGTAGTCGTAAGCCACACTGTCAAACGCTATGGGCCAGGAGGATCCGATTTGCGACGGAACGGCTAACTTGGCATTCGTTTGGGGCTCTGTTTATTGTATCGCGTGGGCCTTGGCGCTAATAACGCGCAAGTGACGCCATTTGCAACACTGCCTTAGTCGCAACAGGGATCTCCTGACCGGCACTCCGCGAATTCCTCCAGCCACTACGGATTTTTCAACTTGTCGATTTTCCATTGAAGAATTACACTCACCTCGGCAGATCCTGGTCCGTGCCGTGTGTGTGTGTCGGGGGGGGAGGGGGGAGATTGTTACGTGTGCGGCAGTGATGTGGCCACTTTCGTGGGCGCAAGAAAGGCGCGGGAGTTGAACGCTGGAGGTATAACAGGTACACCAGGTCGTCGGTCTCCCGACAGCTACGGAGACGCGTCGTCGCACGCCAGCCAGCGGCGCCTAGCTACAGTCAAACCCACTACTTGTCCAGGTCCTGTCAGTTCTGGTTGTTTTATAGCGTTGAGTATGTGTTCCGCTGCGGCACATTGTTATCAACTGAAGTGCTGACCCAGGATGTAGCGAGAGCGTGAAGATGCCACCCGGCAACCCCATTCACTTGCATTCTGAGCGGGGAAAGTTGCACGCTACTGCAGCTGACCTGTTCGTCTTTGCCATGGCAAGGACCATCCTCGGGCGTGAATGTACACTTTACCTTTAATGTGGGTACTGCACACAGGAAGGAGGAGGGACAAGGAGTCAAAATAATTCCAGAGATGGCCAGTCCCTCCCTCTCGGGCGCCCCTCATGATATTGTGAATAGCAGAGCTCATTTTCCTCAACAGAATGGCTCTTGAGGGAACCATCGATCTCTGACATCCTTTGCCATGAATGAGCGTGTCCGTCTGCTGAGTTGTTGAATACCGAGGTTCCCACTCTACCCAACAAACCCGCGGTTTGTTTCCCTGTTGGAAACACTTTGAAGACGTAGTCCACGTTGACTGTGTGGGCGGAGTCTCGTAATCGTCGCGCATTCTTCGATGACGCGCCCCTCCTCTTTACACTATTCGCAGGTTATGAATGAACTCTCACCAATGAAGAACTCACAATGACTGACTGAATTGTCCCTGCCCACGTGGTTCGCATAGAGGGTCCCTTACAGGTAGAGAAACTACGGCTTTTGCTTTTTTTTCTTTTCTACTATGTTTTCTACTTCTACGGTATGCACTAACTATAATAGTGCTCGAGATGAATGCAACACACCTTGAGAATTTTTGGTGTGCCGTCGCATTTAGTCACTTTTTTCATGCAGTCCCTAGCGTACATCTCTGAAATTATAAGCGCTTCAATAATTGCTGGGCGTAGCACTATTCAAACATTTCATATTTTTTTAATTTTTCGATGATAGACCACAATTTAGCCCCAAACTGGCAGAGCGATATCTCAGAGGCTGAACTCCATACTGAATGATACCGATCTTTCCCGTTCCTTTACAATGAAATTCAGACGGTTCAGCAGGACAACTCTTCTCTCGCGGGCGCGAAGTCGTCCGCCACGTCCATCAGTGCGGCGTATTGCGATTGTCTTGCCACATACCCACAATTTAGCCTTTCGCTTCCCTTTGAAAAGCAAGTACAGCTCACTGCCAGCTTACCTAGTCGATTTAACCCGTGACTGTAATGCCCTCGCACATCGGCCTCGAGAAGAACGTCGGCTAATTGCTCGGCGTGCGATGGATTCACTTTCTGCGTTTTCATAATGTCAATCATGAATCGTCGCATCTGTAAAATATAACGATGACGTCACGACCACATGTGTGAGTTCGTGGTTTAAAAGAGCGCTATTCGCCTTGGAAGGGGCAAGCCTGCAATGTTACCAGCGCCTTTATTAGTCTGTAATGATTGGGTGGGAAGCGTTACTTTCGAGTAGCGACATCGCGCGCACTGGCAGACTAGCTAACTGGATGACTAGACAGAAAGAGCGAGAGAGAGAGAGATGCTAGTCACCTGAGATTACGCAGACACAGAGAGAATGTTCAGCGCTTGCAACTTTTGAATGGGTTTGGGTCCTGATCGATGCCTGTCACACCACCGACTTGCAACTCCCATTTCAACGATTCGTCGCGATCTGAAGTACGCTTCACACAGTAAATGCCTAAATGGAGTTGAAAATCGCGAAATGTGCAAGCAACTGTGGAAATTGGGTTGTGGTGCGAAGTACATTACACACGCTTCGGAGGCTCTCCCGCCCCCTCCGCAGCAATCACAAGGCTATCCGTTGAGGCCAACGAAAAGAAGAGATTGACCGATATAAAGGATAGCGGCTTAGTTGGTCGTGCCACTTGTGGCCTTCTTACTTTACTTCTTCTTTGACGATTTTGCTCCTGGGTTTGCTTTAGGTGAGAGGCAACGGCAGCTCCAGGTTTGGCAAAACAGATGAGAAACGGAGTTTTTGTAACAGCGAACATTCTGAAAGTCATACTTGTGAGATTCAAATACAATGGCGCGTGAACAGATGTATATGTTCAACTCTGCCTAATAAACGCCTTATTCTGTGCGCGCGTCAATACGGCTTTGATTGTGTCGATTCACTCGGTGAGCGATTTCTTTCAAGATGATATTAGGTTGTCCGGAAAGTTCTTAGCGTTTTGGGTGTTTAACTTTAAACGATCATAACTTTCTTAACACTCATCGGATTTAATCCAAATAAGCACCATTCGAATCAGCACACTTTTGCCAATGTGGCAGCAGTCGAGAAATCCCATCAAAAAAAACTGGGTGGTCGAGAATCCACGAAATCTGCGAAGGTCTTTTTTGCCTGGTCCTGTTTGATGAAGTATTTCTCAGCAGGAAAGTTCTGAAAATGTCTGAAAAGGTGACAGTCGGTTGGTGAAAGGTCTGGAGAATATGGTGGGTGAGGTAGAACTTCAACCCCAATTCGTTCAATTTATGGATAGTGATTTGTGAAACGTGTGGGCGGGCGTTGTCATGCAAAAGAATCGGACCCTTTCTTTTGATAAGTGTTGGCTGCAGCTGACAATATTTTCGGTACATTTGGTCGGTTTGTTCACTGTGATGGTTTGGCCTGGTGATGAAAAGTTATAGTGGATTACAACAGCCGATGACCACCAAACCTGACCAGAATTTTTTTTCGCGAGGGTTCGGCTTTGAAAATTACCTCGGTGGTTCCTCCAAATCCAACCACTGTCCGGAACGTCTCCTGTTATCATACATGATCCATTTTTCATCACAGGTGACAAATCCGTTCAAAAACGGGTCAATTCTTTTGCGCAAAAGCAGTGAAGAAGGAACCTCGAGACGTGCCGATTCCTGCCGGTCACTCCGATTGTGGGGCACCCAATTGTCGAGTTTTTTCACCTTCCCAATGCGTTCCAGACCATCTGCAACAGTGGATTTGCCAAGGCCTAGCTCTTCTGCTATCTCTCGAACTGTTTGGGATGGGTCAGCCTTCAAAATCCCCCTAAAATCCTCGTCAGATATTGCTTTAGGTCGACCGCTATGAGGTTCACCTTCAAGGCTGAAATCTCCAGAACGAAATTTGTTGAGCCATTGCCGCACAGTGCTTTCTCTAGCACTATTGGGCCCCCACACCTGGTTAATTTGTTGAGCTCGATTGCGGATTGCCCCAATTTATAGTCGAAGAAAAAAATCGTCCGAAGTGCTCTTTTCACATGCTTGAAAAAATCTTGAAAAAAGGGGGTTTATCAAGCAATGGTGAAACGGCAATTATACCATCAGATAGCGCAAGAAATTCTCTACAGGATGTGCTACTGAGAAGCAAGGCAGAATGAGTTTTTAATCAGCAGTGAATGTACAAAAAATAGGTGCACAAAACGCTGAGAACTTTCCGGACAACCTAATACATCATTAAAAGCTCATTTATTCCTGGTAATCTTGTTGGAAATCGTGCATGCCAGTAGAACAATGTCTGGAGCAGTCCTGCGGATTCCTAAGGCTGCGTTGCATACTTTGCGGCAGCGGTCCCAGTGTTACGTCTAGGCGTTTTCCACGCGTTCGGCAACGGTAGTGACAAAGGAAAGGATGGATAATCGATCTAGCGTTTTACCAGCGTTCGCCAGCTGCGAGCACTAGAGAGTTTGGGAGAGTTAGGAGAGTAGCGAACGGCTCGATTCAGGCGTTGTGGAATTGCGGCGTGTGCAACCGCACCTGCACTACTAGACAATACCGTACTAAATTGGTTAAATTGCATAATGCAATGGTTGAACTGCATAATGCATAATTGTAAAGGATAAAACAACGTGGGATCATTGAGGATCTTTCATAAGGATGAGCATGTATGTGTCGGCCGTATATTCGTCCAGAGAACGTTCATAAGGATCACCAAAGTTCCCAAACGGAACAATTTCCAACAGATCAGCCCTAAAAAGGGTATAGTACCTGCAAAAGGCGAGCGTTTTCATAGTTCAGTTCAATTCCGGTGCGACAATGTAATAAACATTCCGTTCCAACAGCCAAACCACAGAATTATGCAATTTAATCATTTTAGTGTACGGTATTGTCTATTTGCGTGCACATGCCGCAATTCCACGACGCCTAATCGAGCCGTTCGCTACTCTCCTACTCTCCCATACTCTCTAGTGCCCGCCGCTGGCAAACGCTAGATCGATACCTATGCTTCCCTTGTCACTGCCGCTGCCGAACGCTAGCGTACGCTGCCGCGAAGTATGAATGTAGCCTAGAAGGAACTATAGACTCTTCGCGATCCTAATCCTTGCCATGTGAAATGATCTACAACTGCAGTGGCATGCCACTGTCTTGGTCAAAGAGGCATGGGGTCTTGTGAGGGTAGTGATTCTCAGAGTGCCGTTTGAAACTCTTCCTGAGCTGCCGCGAAACCGGCCACATGCCCAAAGCCCTATTTAAAGGCACGGTCCGCGATAAAAAGCCTAGGTGATGTTGCAGAAATGTGGAAGAAAATTCGCCAAGTGAACCGTCTATGAAGAGAAAATGCCAAAGGGAACGTTGGAAACGCATTCGTCAGGCCTCCTCTAGCCTCAAACAACTGTAGAGGTAAAAGACCGAAAAGACCGCGCGCTGGGACGATTCCCGTCGGCTGATTCCCAGTAATGAACCCTATGACTCTACAAGAGACATTGAATGCATCCACTCCATGATACTTGCCCGGGAGCATTACTTTTGGCTGGAAGGCCGACTTTGGAGGCGGAGTCTGGAGGCGGAGTCACTGGAAAAAGGGATGTACCACTGAAGCAACTTTGCGCCTTAATTCCTTTACCGTACAACTTTCCGCCGCGAAACTGGCACAGGGTTGTCCACTCCGGACCGCACTACCTTCTCACATAACCTCTTGCATTTTCATAGGTCATCGCGGACGGTTCCTTTAACTGAGCCCTCTCACTCCTGGTTGTTCTCTACCACTGACTGCGTGGTCTCTGCGGGACTTTGCTATTGACGCAGACTCTGCAGCTCGAGGACAGCGGGTGTAGTTACGACGCGCCGCTAGCTGGCTAATGCCGTCTGGCCCTCCAGAAATTTCGTCTTCGAGCTCCTTTAAAAGTAGTCAAGAGCCCAAGTCTTCCTAAAAACTTGTAAACTGTAGGGGTACATTCAACATCCTGTTCACGAATTGACGTTTCATTTGGCGTGGCGCTAATTGACATACGTTACCTGCGCTCTGCTAAGGCTGAGCCCAGGAGGTAATCGTAGTGTCCTCTCTTGGCGCCAGCGCCAAGAATGAGTGTCATACTCGTAATCAGGATGTTGAATTACCCCTATATACAAGTTTTTAGTGGATTTGGTGACTTAGGCAATTTGAAAATGAGCTCGAAGAAATTTCTGGGATCCAACCGCATTAGCCGCGGCTACGCTACTGATTGCGGTACCCATTCCCCTTCGCACATGGGCTAAAAGGCATCGGTGAGTTTACAGTTTTCTCCCCAATGGAACCTCAGACTGTTAGGATGACGGGAAACCCATACAATACATGGAATCGTCAAATATCTCGTGCGGTCAGATTACAGACCCCCCCCCAGCTCAGAAAGGTACCCATAACATTTACGCGCACACCTGGCAAAGATTTAGGATAACAAGAGCGGTGATGTCAAGAATTGGGCGTTGGCCCATTTTATCTGTTCACAATTTACTCTTGATCCTGAAACCTGCCAGCTGAGGGATGATGTGGTAACTATCATGCTCTCCTCTATTTCAGGTGGACGCTTCCTTTGTAGCTGTGACAACCTTTATCTTTATAAAAAACCGAAACGATATCTTATAGAAAAACACTGTAAAGAAAGTCAAGTACGTATTAACACGCGTCCTCGTGATCCTCTGTGGTAGTCGGAATCACGGCACATCTCAGAGAAGGTGACAAATGTTAAGCCTTGTGCATTAGCAGGTCACTAGAGTCAGTCAAGGCGTGTCAGCCGGCCATGGATTCTTAGGCGGTGGCAGTCTGTTTTGTGTCCATCGTTGCCGCTTCAGGCGTTCAGTGAGTGTTGCGAAGTGACCCTGGCACGCCCCGACTGGATTCCGTGATAACGACTGTGATCAAGGTGCGTTTAAACTTCACCCTGATCACATTCATCATCAAGGAGTCAGTCAGAGAACTTGACAATAGTGAAACGATTTCTTTCGCATTAGTGGATCACTCAGTTATCACGCCTACTCTAAAATGAATATTGATTTCAAAAGCGTAAAATCGATACCCATTTCTGCAAGCACCGAAAGACAGAGCGGTTGATGTTAAGATCATCTCGAAATAGACTCACTTAACGATGATACAG